ACTCCAATCCCGAAACCACTGAACTCTAAGGGTCGTTGAACTGCCAAACTATAAATTCCCAATATTATAGACGAGAAGATAAACCAATTCCACTATGATTGTGGAAAATGTCCATCAGGCATTCTCAACCTTTCTCCATACATCAAGACTAAAGATCTGTCACTCCAAAACAAAATAAAGAAAATAAATATGAGTAATGTTCAATGCGCCCAATGTAACAATAAACCAGCTTGTAATGCAGATACATTTTTCGAAAGTCAATTGTTTTGTTGGGAAAAAGATATTAACAAATGGACAGCAACGAAAGGAAAAAGAGTTTGTAAGAAAGGATTTTGCTTTGTTGGGATTAATAAAAAAGAAAAGGGTAAATTAGAATTTAAGGTATTTGTCGGTTATCTGTGCCCCCATCTTTTAAGGAATAGAACAAGGTTGTGGTAAATGTTCGGGACAAAGTAATCTGGATAAATGTTTTAATTGTTCAACTCCTCTCTGCAATGATGAAACAAAACTTCCTCAAATTAAATGTTACCAACTTACTTACAATCAACTACCTTATGAGAAGAAAGCTAGGACATGCCATCAATCTGTTGACAGTTGCTACATTGCTAGGGACGTCTTTTGGAGGGGTACGAAAATTTTCTCTTTTCCTTTGAGTTAAAAAATAATTTTAAGCCGAACAAAACTGCGGTGAATGCCCTTCAAAACTCAAAAAATGTGTAACGTGTAATCACACCGATTTGTGTAACGAGGACTCTTTACTTCCCTTATCAACAACTACGACTGAAATAAAAACAAATAGTTGGGTATCTTCCACAACCACCACGTCGACTAAAAAGGACCCTACTACCCCTATTAAGGGTACAACACATAGTTTTCCCCAAAAATCTTCAGCACATATAAAAAAGCAAGATAATAATATGATGGTTTTGACTCTAATAACTTTAATTATTTACTACATTCTTTGATAAAAAGTTAAATTGATATTTTAATCTGGATAAAAATATTTATACATTTGATTAAGATTTTATTGAGAAGAGAAGAAATAAAATATCACTAAATTGTCGAAAATATGGAGACGAGACATGTACAGAAGCATTCATTCAGAGCATTTATTCGTTTCGAGGCATCTCTAATAGAGAATGAGGCCAACAGCGTGGAAAGTTTTTCCAACGGCGGAGATTTAATTATATATTAGACAAATAATTGTATAGAAACCTTATATTATTTTAAATTAACTAATCCAAACCTTGGTCTAAAAGAATTAATCATAATGTGTGGTCGATCAAAACTTTATGAACAAACAATAAGTACAGATTAAAAAACTTAATAAATTTTTCCGAAAATTATTTATTTTTTATAACTTATTTATTACAGGTGTATATATATTTTATCCATAATTTATTTAAATAGAGGATAATATATTTATGTATAAAAGTAAGGGTATAATCTTAAATTTATTACTGATAGAATTCTTAATTTTTATTTGATTAATGAAATCTATCGATCATTTCAGAAATATTTGCTTAGGACAAAAATAAATAAGCCGTTATTATTAGAGACCAAACTTTTTAATTTTCCGGGCCCGATATCCGAGTTTTTTTTTCTTCCAATCGGACCCGGGCCGGGTTTCCGGGCTAAAACCCAGGAAACCCGAAAAACCGGATTTTATCAAAATACTCGGTTTCCGAGCTACCGGGCCCGGAAGACCCGATCACGGGACCGGCCCGGGTTCAAACTCTAGTTATTATAGTCAATCCGAACTATAATGAATTATTCTAAAATTATTTTATATTTTATTCTAAACATTAAAGAGAATATAAATTAGGAAAGTAAAATATTAGGATTTAAGACATTCAATTCATTTAAATTGGGTGTTTTGCATAGAGTTCAGCGGGATCGGGATCGGGCGAGATTATCCGGGTTTTTCAAATCCCGATTTTTCTGACCCGCTCCCGAAATATATATCCTGATCCCGATCCCGGCCAATTTCAATCCCGAGCCGGGATCCGGCTCGGGATCACCAAAAAAAGACCGGGATCACCATTCTAAATCCCGATCCCGGGTTTTCTCTAAATCCCGATACCGCTGAACTCTAGTTTTGCACAGTTATTTGGCGACAGAACCGTAATTAGTTTTCGTATTAATATTCTGTTGTCTTAAATCTCGTGGGATATATTTCTAAGATAGCTTTATTATATAAATTTATTAAAGGAAAAAATGTGCTATTTATCCTTATTTTATTTAATTATTTTTATTAAAATAATAAATACACAAGAATTATTTACATCATCTGCAGAATTACAACAAATTATTCATATAGAAAAAGAAATTCCAAAAATTATACAAAATTATATTTCATTAGAAAATAAACGTTTGGAAGAATTAAAAATGTATTTAATAAGATTCAATAAAATTTATAGTAAAATTAATCGGAATATCCTAAGTGAATATCCACTGAATATCCTAAGTTTATTTGATCTTTAATTGAGGATATACTATCAGATTCACTTGTATACACACAGCTACTTTTGAAACCAGTTCCCTTTACTGTTCAAAAGCCACTCATCCTTAAGAGTGGCTTTAAGAGTGACATCATTAAGAGTGATTTTATGTAGCTATCTGGTTATATACAGAGTCCGACTGAATTTCTAAAAGTAGATTAGAAATGAAGAATAGGCTTACCATATGGGAGAAGTTATTTTTAGGCAAAATGTCTAAAATTTGCTTCAAAGCAAATTATATATTAATTAATTAGTTGTTATTTAACAAAATTATTCTAGTATTGCTAATAAATATGAAAAAGAAGACAGCGAATTATTTCAATTAGAACCAAAAAGTGTTTTGAATCCGTTAAATGCTTTAAGAGTAATTAAAAAGTTATCAATGAAATGGGAGGAAATTAAAAAATTAATTAAATCAGATATGGCTGAAAATTATCTAAAAAATATTTCGATGCAAAGGAAGACTCGATTTCCTACTAAGGTAATTTTTAAAGTAGTAAATACTGAAGTTTGCGGATTAGTGTAAAGGGTGACATAAAGGTAACTACACTCGTTATTTATGAAAATTTCTTTTATGGCACCCTGCATAAAAATTTTATTTTTTGTAGTTTAATAAAATTTCAAATTAAATAGGATGATTTAGATGGTGCAATTCAAGGACTATTCCGTTTACAAGATATTTATAAATTAAAAACAAAAGATTTAGCTAATGGAATTATTGAAGATATTAGTATAAAAAATCAAATGAATTGTGAGTTACAAATTTAGTAAACAGATTTTTCTTTTACCTTAATTTTCCAGAAATTTCCATATTTCCAAGAAAATTTCCATATTTCTTAGCTTTAAAAATATTTTAGAGGATGTAAGGTAAAAATAAGCCAAGATAACCAATAGTAAGGAGCGTCCCACATCAGTCCCTGGGCGTTTCAGTCCCCAGTCTGTAACTCGAGAATTTTGAAATAATTTATTGAACTTTTAGTACCTTTACATAGAGGATTAAATTCTCTACAAACTGATACCAAAGATAAAATAATTTTATCAACTGATAATGAAGTTATTATCAAAAAACGGCCATTTTTTAAAAAAGTCATTTTTTATGTTTTTTAATCATAACTTTGGTAACTGTAGATCAAATTTTTCGATCAATAGCTTATTTTGTAGCTTAATTAATCCTCTATCCAACTATACCAAGAGTTCCAAAAACTACAACTTTCTCGAGTTATAGAGCTCGGGACTGAAACATTCAGGGACTGGTTTTCTTACCGCCAATAGTATATTTAAAAATTGGTTGCCTATATAAACTACCTATTTTAATAAAATTTTTTTATTTTAGCAAAGGATTGTTATGATATAGGCCTTGCAGCATACATGAATAAGGTAAATAAAAATATGTATAAAAATATTTAATTAAAAGGATTATTATCACTCAATATTATGGATGCAAGAGGCATATCAACGTAAATTAAATGAAAAATCAAATAGAAATTATGGGAGTAATCTACCAGATATTTTAAATATTTTGTCAATTTCTTTGTATAAGCAAGGAAATTTAAAACGAGCATTACTAATTAATGATAAATTAATTGAAATTGGTTAATCAATTACAGATATGTAAATTAAGAAATTTTTATTAAGATCCATTATATCCAAGTGCTTTAAATAATTCAAAATTATACGAAAAAGAATTATTTGAAAATGGAGTCTCCGAGGAAGATTTTCGTAAAAATATACCTCTCTTAAACAATACAAGAATTGCGAATACTCCTTACCTGAATGCAAGTTATCGAATAAGTTATGAAAAGCTTTGTCGTGGTGAATTAGAACAAGTGCTTTAATTTAAAAATATTTTTATTATTGAATAATTGGGGCTGTATTACGGATGGTTCTAAAGGGTTCATACAGTTAAATAGGTTCGAGCTATCGAGCTAACTAAAGTCCGAACTACTTTCGGCATGGGGACTGGACTTCAGCAAAATTTATCCTCTGCTTATAAGACTAAAGAGTTCAAGAGCTGTTGCTCATCCAATTTACTCGGTCTTAACTAGTCTCAAATAAAACAAACGTACTACTGGATTTGAATTTATGGATTACTACTTATGGTCTATTTTAGAGGCAAGGGTCTGAGCTTAAAAATCAAAAAGTTTGAAGTCGCTTTTGCAAGCACCCGTTCAGGAATGTGAAAAAATACACATGAAGAGATGCGGAAATTTTGCCCAAAAATTTTCCTTACAACCTAAACTGTCAGGGGACTCATAAACCTTTATTATAAACTTTTATTGCCAAATTATTTATAAAAATTTCTAACAATGGAAAAAATATTTTAAATATATATACAAGTAGGTGAATATAACTAATCTTTCTTATTGAGCCATGTGAGTAAATCAGGGAATAAATAATTGAAAAAGAGACTGAATAAAGCCCCGTTTATTTTGTAAATTTAATTAAAAATTTCAATTTTAGAATATAACAGAAATATCAAAACTTTATTGTTATTACAAAATGGATCGTCCTTTTATTCGTTTGGCTCCAATTAAAGTCGAAATTATTCATTTCGAGCCATTAGTTGTTATATTTCGTAATGTTATGTCCGATGAAGAAATTAAAACATTAATAAACATTTCATTACCAAGTTTGCATAGATCTGTGGTTCAAAACTCTTCGACTGGTGGACAAATGATAGCCAGCTATCGGATAAGCAAGAAGTTTTTTAAATAATTTAAAAATTTCGTATAATAATAAATTAAGCGCCTGGATCACCCAGAAATCTCATCCAGTTATTAAACAAATAGCTAAGCGTTTGTCGTTAATGACAAATTTAAATATGAAGTCCGGTGAGGCTTTACAGGCAAAAAATGTTTTTTAGATTTTAATGTTATTTGTAATTTATAGATTGGAAATTATGGAATTGCTGGACAATATGAACCGCATTATGATTTTTCTAGGGTTATTTCATTCAATTTTATTTGAAAAAGTAATGGCTTCGTGGAAAAAAGGAATAGCTCGTTTAATTCCAAAATTCTCAAAAATTTTCAAGACTGTGCAGAAAAGTCTTAATCCACCCAAATCCCATGATAATTCACCCAACTCGATATCCCTCCCTCGAAATAATATTCCATTGATTTTCAACCCAAAACCTGGAAAAAAACATGGAGATTTTAACATAGGGATTTATGTTTCACCAAATTCTTCGGTTAACAAAACCGTACCGACAAACAAACGAAATTCTTCGCTTTTTCGGTTCAGTTCGAGTGTTAACAGACAACCCTAGTTTTGATTTTTTTGCTAAACCAACTTGTTATTTAACTTATTAATATTTTGAATTCATATATTAGACAAAAATGAGATGATCTTGAATTTAAAACTTGTGTTCTCCCTTTCACTCTAATGATTAAATTATTAGACGATAATAATTTTTAAACTATAATAATTTTTTTAAAGAATAACGAATCTTCAAAGAATCATAGTATGGGAATTGGTAATAGAATCGCAACTGTTCTATTTTATTTAACTACACCAGAAAAGGGTGGCTATACAATTTTTAATAAAATAAATACAATTGCTAAACCATCTAAACGTGATGCTCTTTTTTGGTATAATTTGTTAAGAAATGGAGACGGAGATTTAAGAACAATGTTTTTGCATTTTTATAAAAATTAAATGATAATTTAATTAGGCATGCAGCTTGCCCAGTTTTAATTGGAGATAAATGGGTTGTAAATTCTTGGATACGTGAAAGAGGACAAGAGAATTTTCGTCCATGTTCATTAAAATCACCAACGATGGAACGTTATGTTGGAGATTTAGGAGGTTATTATGAAAATATTATGAAAAAATATCACCATAATTTAAAAAATGATTAGCTTGAAATAAAATGTGGCAAAATACATTTACGTATATACAGAGGACCAGAGGTGGTCGGAATTCCAATTTACTACGTTTTTTTCCTTCCGATTTCCGATTTCCGAAATTTTGGAAAAATTTCCGAGTTCCACTTTTGACCCATTTCCGATTTCCGACAGTTCCGATTTCCGGCACCTCTGATTGTTCCGACCCACCTCTGCAGAGGACCCAAAAAATTTTAGGACGCTATTTAAATTAAAGTTAATGAGATCAATAAAGCTTATATGATAGAGAACCAAATAAGAACAAATAAAATCAAGAATTTTAGAAGTACCTACACTTTGCGCGGTCACAGTTAAAGGCGGATGAAAATTTATCAAAAGTTCGCACCATCTCGAGAGAGATTAGGGGGTGGTTCATGAACAAAGTACCCTTAAACATAAGCATATATTTTGAACTATAATAGTTATAAAAGATTTCTTGCTTAATTCTGTATGCAAATATTTTAAGTATTCAAGTATTTTTTATACATATTTATTTAACGTTTTTAATGTTTTACATTTTAAAATTTTATTTTGATGCTCATTCAGAATGTCTTTTCTTATTTAGCAAAATTTTCATTTTATATTCTCATTATTTCTTGTTGGAAGTTTTTGTTTAACAATAATAACATTTGTGCTGACATTAGTGGCTGTATTATTTTTAATAAATTGACTTTTGACTACTAGACGAAAATCTTCAGAAATAATAACCAAACAAATTTCTTCAATACATTGAAGGATAGTTAAGCTTGTATTGAATAAAACGGATACAATAATTGAAGTAGTTGTGTCTTGTACATTTGCATCAATAATCACGTTTAATTTGTACATACATATATACCATGGGCAAGGAATTAGGCTTACCAAACAAACAGCTAATATTTTAATTCGTTCTTTTTTAGTATTGTCCTCTAAACTTTGCATCTTTCCAGTCTCTAGAATTATTTTTAGGGGCTTTTAAAAATTTTCTAACAAATGTTACTGGAATTGGAAATGCTTGCCCTACTATAAGATAACCATATGACAAGTTAATAGTATCTTATAATTATGTATATAATGTTTAAGTATCGTTTAGTCAGCTGCCTAACTAAGCCTGAATTTATCCTGAACTTATTAGTATCATAGTTAGGTCAACTGTATTAAAAGTCGTATTTATCAAATGATATTCTTATAACATACTGTAATCATAGATAAATTTTGACAGCACAGCAATATATATGGGAGCTGATAAACATAAAGAAGTCAATAATGGTAAATCACCAATCATGAATACTCCATAAATGAATATACTTTATAGAATTAAATAAATTTTATAATATATCTTATATTATTTTTAACCTCAAAAAATTATTTTGGGGAATTTGAAAAGTATATCCAAGATATATTACCGCACTCCAAAGAAGTATTATAAGCCATAAAACAGAAATAATGAATTTAATATTTCTAAAATTTAAAAAAGTTTTTAGTGATATTTTTTCATTTCCAACAAAATACTAAGATGTACATACCTTTTTTTCCAAATTTTTTGATAACTAAAAGGGAGGAAGACTGCATGGAAGCGATTTAGTGCCAATCCAGTCACATGCACATAGATTGATGTAGTTAAAACAGACGATAATGGTGATATAAAAAAGTGGCTCCAAAATGATGCCATAAATTGAGGATAATATTGATATATACTAATATAGATTTGAAGGAATTGATATGTTATATTTGCACATGACTGGAAATTTTTATGTAATATTTACTTAAAGGAAAAAGGTGTTCAATTGGCTCCCATACAAAATACCGAATTCTTAAAATATGGAATATCAAAATCGCGAATCGGCTAAAAAAGCTCAAAATATGGAATCTTAAAATATCGAATCTCAAAATATGGAATAGGCAAAAAAAGCTCAAAATATCGAAAAATATCGACAATGCGGCAAAGGCCAGTTGAGTCTGAACAAAGTTGTGACCAACTTCTTCGTAAAAAAATTTTAAAAATAAGAGAAAGTATTTTTCTAAGGTAAAAAAATGTGCTGATTACGAATCTCAGCTCGGATTTTGAAAAAGTCGAATCCCGGACCCGAACCGAATTTCGAATCCCGAACCGAATTTCGAGTTTTCGAATGATAGCTCATCTGAAAGAGCACGTCGAGCTGCATCGAATGATACCAAAATCAATGAAATCCGACCTGATTGGACTGAGTTACAGATCCCTGAATAATCAGAAAAAGACCTGCAGCGGCACTCAAACGGCCCTTTTCGTTTTTAAAAAATTCGACATTTTTAACTACTTTTTAGCCGATTCGGTATTTTGAGCTTTTTTGGCCGATTCGCGATTTTGAGATTCGATATTTTAAGATTCCATATTTTGAGCTTTTTTGGCCGATTCCATATTTTGAGATATTTTTACCGATTCGCGATTTTGAGCTTTTTTAGCCTATTCGCGATTTTGAGAATTCGGTATTTTGTGCGGGCACGGTTCAATTAAAGTGATAAGCTAAATCCTAAACTTAACTTATAGGCTTAAAACTTAAAGTACTTTACAATAGATCAGGATTGTGCGTTTGTAACATAACTATTGGGTAACCGGGCTGAGCGTCATGGCGACTGGCGCTTTGCGTTTGGCACCTTTTCCCTATTTTGGCGCCAAACGCCGAAAATTAGCCCTGGCATAAACTTTATGATGGTGTGCATTTTATGATGGTGTGCATATACTATGATATGCATTTAGCCTCCGGCATAACTTTTTTATATCTTGTCGCTGGCAGAGTAGGCGGCGTTTTACATCTTGGCTTATTGGAAATCGCCAATAGGCAATGACAGGGTTGGCAGGAGATAAATCTCTCTACATACCTCCAACATTAGTCAAGCTTATAAAATGCATAGTCCCTAATCATTCGATAAAAAAGGATGGAGTATGTAATAACATTAAATTTTTGGGATTATTTATTCATAAAAAAATTATCCATTATAATTGAAAAACATAATTATGTAACCATGATCGTTATAAAATTTACCTTGCTAAATAAAATAAAAAGAGCAGTTCTTTCCTTTGAAAATTTGTGTAAAGGGCGTACCAAAATTAAAAGTATAAAAACACAAATTGTACAGAAGAATATAGAAAATACATTCAAATAATTTTTTCTTATATCACGATTTATTGTCATTTGTATACTTTATCAGAGGTTAGTATCTTAAAAATTTTATCACGAATATGAAATTTTAGTTGAAAAATATTTTCTATTCATCTAATAATAATTCTAGTTACCACCCAGTTTGTTAAGAGGGTGAATTTTGAAATTTAAACTAAAAATTAAAATAAATAAAATTAATTGTACTATTCCATGCTTAATAATTAACACGAATGGAATAAATCTTTTCTTTAAAATTTTTTTATTAATAATAATATAATAGTTGGACTTTGTCTTCACCTGCAATTTTTGAATATATAATTTTAATTTTTTATAATAAATAAAATATTTTAATTAAATTGCTGGCTTGAAATTAATTCTTTTAATTATTTAATGGGAAAGTACATATTTAAATGGTAAAGTACATATGCAAATATAAAGTACAAGTTTTAATTTTTTTTAAACATCTGTCTTTTCTTTTCTTTTCAGAAAAAGAAGAAAAAAATATTATGCAAAGAAAATTAAATAAAATTTTTTAAATAAAATTTATTTAAATTAACATAACAAATGTTTAAAAAAAAGAGAATAAATTTACATGAGAAAAAATTTTAAAATTATTCAAAAGCAGGGTTTCGATCTCGAATTTTTAAAAATCCGCAAGATTGATCGAAAAATCCGCATTTTATATCAAATATCCGCAAAAAATTATCAAACACAAAAATTGAATTAAAATCACTTTATGCATTGTATTTTTCGTCTTCTACAATTGAATTAAGCAATTTTTTATTACTAATGATCATCTTATGAAAATCCAACAACTATCTGAAAAATTACACTTGCATTTTTGTCGTGGAAGATGTCGCAAATTTTTATTTCTTCCATTTTCAGCGGCGCAGGCGAAAATTTTTTTATTTTGGAAGATCCTTAAGCCAAAAATCGTTCATTTTCAGGCCTGGTAAAAAAGTTTGAGGATTTTGGAAGATCAAGGACACAGATTCTTTCCTTTTTTGCGCCGCAGCGAAAATTTTGAGGATTTTAGAAGGTCTTAGCGGAAAAATAATGACATTTTTGCTAAAAACCACAAGAAAATATAAAAAATCCTCATAATCTTCAAAAGACCACAAAAATCCGCAAATCCGCATTTTAAAAAATAATCCTCATCGCCCTATCAAAAAACCACAAAATGAGGAAAAATCCGTAGATATCGAAACCCTGTTCAAAAGAGAAATTGACATACAGTGACATACACCCTGTTTTACGTTGATTTTTAGGGTATCGAGATCTCGACTTTGAAATTTGATAGAGCCCTAATTCTTTTTTTATTTTTTATACAATCGACAGACATATTCACGGTATTTTTTGTAGAATTTTACAATAGGTGGAAACTAGACTTTTACAGGGGGTTCTCAAAGTGAACTAATATTTAAGTAACACTAGTTTTATTAAAAATTTGAAATAAAATTTTTTTCGAAATTGCTTTGACATTTTGATAATTTTTTCTCAAATTATAATCGTTAGCTATATTTTCTCGAAATTTGAAATAAATCCGACTATTCAAAATGGAGTTAGGTAAAAAATTAGGGGTGAACGTATGTTTATGTAACGCACTGTAATTGAAGTGAGTTTTGCGTAAAATTAAAAAAAAAAGAATTAAATTTGAATTAAAAAATTAAATTAGTAATTTCATGCAATAGAAATTTAAATTATATTTATTTGGCAATCAGCTAAATATTGTTTAAATAAATAAAATAACTCAGCCAATCTTTTTTATTCAAAGGATGAAAAGGTGGCACGAATTTTCGTCAAAGGACTTTCCGTCAACGGACTTTTCGTCAATGAATGGTTGTTTTTTTTTAATTT